CTGTGAACCTAAAATTGTACTCTGATGAAATTACCAAAGCACAAAAGGCAGGAGAGAGAAGAGAGAGAGAGAAAATACTGGCCTCTCTTTGGGATATTCCTTTAGGACAATAGATCATATAAGCTGATTACATTTCTCCCCTTACATTGGCCCACAGCCAAATTTACACGCAAACTTGACTCACTATAAAACATCTTACGGTTTGAAGCAAAGGCACCAACCCTTTTGTAGACATTGTTTTATTTTTTTTCTTTCCTCTGATTTCCTTATTTAAGTTTCGACTTGTTGCGTCTACCTTTATGCTTCTTCTTTTTTTATATATAAGCATTAATCCGATATTAATGAAAAAATGTCCGAAAGGTACTGCAGGAGAAAACAAATGTCTTTTCTCATCCATTGCTTAGTCCCTGACTGAGGCTTCTACAACCGAAGATAGATGAGAACACACGAAAAGCATGAAAGTGCACCCTCCTTTAACGCAAGTTTTACATGACACAGGGGCCTTTGAAAAAGCAGACTCCAAGCAACAGGAAAACCTGGGTGCTTACTTTAGACCAGGTTCGATGCAGAGGTGCACAGTCATGGAGACACACGTGGAACAAAAGCAGGACCGAATGTAAATAAAGCAGAGCGAACAAAGCAAGGGCTGTTTGTCCAGAACTTTCTGTGTCCCTGGATCTTCAGAGATGAAGATGTCTCTTTTCTGAGGGTATACGATGGTTGCTACAATGCTGTTATGTTTTGCCTCCAAAAGTGGCCTGGATTCAAAGCTTTGTTGTCAGTGTGACAATATGAAGAGGTGGCGGGGGGCGGGGGCTTTCAGGGGTGGAGCCCAGTGAGAAGTTCTTGAGAACCCCTCCGTAAGTTCTTGGGTCCCTGGAAGTGCAATTTGTGATGAGAAGAAATCCGATCCGTGAATTCCTCTCTGACTTTCTATCTGGCCGTGAGCTCTCTCACCGCCCATGTAAAACCATCTGCCAGGAGGCCCTCAGCACAGCTGAGCTGACGCTGCTGCCGTGCTCTGAGTCCCCAGCACCCTGAGTTAAATGAACCTTTGTTCTTTATAGAGCATCTGCCTTGGCTGTTTCATTATGGTAACCAAAAGCTGACTAATACAGAGTTGTCTCTGTCACTTTCCCCTCACTGGAACAAAATACCTGACACTTGCACCATAAAGGAGGTGAAACTCATTTCTGCTCACATTTTTTAAAGGTTTCAGTCCATAGCACATGGGGTCCGGGCAGAAGCAGAATAGCGAAGGTTTGTATCATAGGAGCCAGGAAGCAGCGCCGGAAGGGAGGAGCCAGGGAGGGACACACTCTTCCGGCCCATGCCCCCAGCGACCGCCTCTTCTAGCCAGACCCCGCCTCTCAGCAGCGCGCTCAGCTGTAGCCCGGCATAGTCCAGTCACCCTGCAATTACCCCACCTTTGAAAGCGTGGGGCTTTGGGGAGACATCCATATATAAACCGTAACAAGGCAGCTCTTAAACGAGGTTCTTATGACTTGCTTCAGGGGAAAAAGGCAAGAGAAAGGTGAGAGTGACCTTTCGCTTCTCCTGGCCTTTCAAATACCAAGGTGCTATATTTTGGGTGCCATTTTGGATCCCATCCTTGTGTGGTCTCTGCACTTTTATGGGTGATGAACTCGGACTCAAGTCTATAAACAACTGGTAAGGGCATAAATGGACTTCAGAGGGGCAGTTTCTTCCTGAATATTTAGATAGTGGGTTGAGAGTATACATATCTCTCTCCCTCCTCCAAGATATAATAGAGTTCATTAGGTTCTCAAGTGGATCCATGACCCGTAAACAGTATACCCTCTGTTGTCAATAGTATAAATTTAATTACTGTATCAGACCAGAATGTTGGAGAATCGTTTGTGTTCCCCCCTAGTTTGGCCCAATGTTGCCATCCTTTGCGCAGAGGGGTTCACCTGGGGGGATTTTGCCCATAGGAGACATTGGGCAACGTCTACAGATGTTCCTGGTTGTCACATCTGAGCAGGAGGGGGCAGTGCTAATGTCACCTAATAGGTAGAATTCAGTGATGTAACTAAAAATCCTCCACACACGCCTTCCCACCGCAAAGGAGTATTGGCTCAATATATCAGTAATGCACAATTTAGTACAGCTATGGGAGAGAAAGAGTTACTTAGGCTCTGGGTTGGAGGAAGGATTCCTAGACAGAGGGAACAACCAGTGCAAAGGCCCTGGGGTGAGACAAAGTACAGCATTTGGTAGAAGCACTGGCAGGCCTAGTGGGAGTGCCCTGAGAGTGAGAAGATATGTGGTTTAAAAAGGCAAAGGGGGGTGGTTGGCAGGTGAAACCTACAGATGAGCTAGGAGGTAGAGGCAAAGGCTTTGAGCATTATGCTACAGGTGGAAAGTCAAAGGACTCCTGAAGCTCTAAGAAGGATGCGTTGGAGGGAAGGATGGATTCCAGGGAACAGGAGACTTTGAAGTTGTTTAGGGGAGAGCTGGTGATTGCTTGGGCTGCCGGAAGGGGAGTCAAAAGCTACCACTCACTCTGCTCTATTTGGAATACAGTAAGTGGAGCAGATTGCTGAGTTGGAGCCAGAGGAAGGGGAGAAAATTAAGACAGAGAGGAAAATGACTTCATTTTGGATACTGATGTTTAATTATCCATGATAATTCATTTTTCCATCCCAGTGAGCATTTGTCTGTCCATCCGTCCACCCACTCATCCACCCATCCACTCATCTCTTCATTTATGCACATGTCAATCCATCCACTCCACTCCATGTCAATCCATCCCACCACTAACACATACAGTGAGTAAACACCAACTCTATACAAAATCTGGGATAGAAATGATACTGGTAACGAATCGCAAAGATTGTTTTAGGATGTATGCCCACAGCAAACATCAGTGAGTTTATTCATTTATTTTTATTTATACTAGATTTGAGAAGTGGGTTGGTTTGGACCCCTGTAGATGCTTGTTTTCATAGATCACTTATAACTGAGGAGTTTAAATGAAATTGCGTCTTCCTTTTTCCCTTGCTTTGATTTATCTTTTTCTTTTCCCCTCCCACCTTGCATTCCTTCCTTTCTTTCTTTCCTCCCTCCCTCCTTCCTCCCTTCCTCTTCCCTTCCTCCTTCTTTCCTGTCTTCCTCCTTCTTCCCCTTATTCTTTTTCTCCTCCTCTTTCTGCTCCATTCTTTCTGCTCCTCCCCCTCCCTTCTCCTCCTCCTCTCCCCCTCCCCCTCCTCCTCATCCTCGGCCTCGGCCTCATCCTCCTCCTTCTCTCTCTCTCTCTCTCTCTCTCTGCCTCTCTCTGTCATAGGGAAGGAACGCAGGTTTTGTGCATGCTGGGCTCCATCACACCCTCAGCCTTTGGCATTTCTTTGTTAATATACTCTTAATATCAGCTGTGTTTTTGCAGTCTGTCTCATTTTCTCTTAGAATATAGCATGTGATAAATACAACAAATACAGATATACCATGGAGATATTGAAAGTTTGGTTCCAGTCTAGGATAATATAGTGAATATCATAATAAAACGAGTTCCACAGATTAATTTATAAGTGCATATAAAATTTATATTTCCACTCTATTTTAGTCTGAGTGTACAACAGCATTATCTCAGAAAACAACACATATGTTTTAATTAAAGATCACTGTATTGTAAAAAGTGCAAACAATCATCTGAGCTTTGGAAAAAGGGCACAGGTAGACTTGCTTGAAGGAGGGTTGGCACAAAATTCAAATTTAAAAAAAAATAGTGTCTGGGAAGCACAACAACACAAAGTATAAGAAAAAGAAGCATGCTTGTAAAGCTTAAAAGAGAGTGCTTTTGTGAGAAGCCACAGACGAATGGATGGTGGTAACATTCATTAAGCAGTACTGCGACAAACTCATAATGGTGGCTCTGGTTTTCACCGGAAGTCCTGGGAGGCGTGCTTCGTTACTTGCATCTTACAGATGAAGGAGTACAGATTCCGAGAGCTTAAAGCTCCTTCCCAGAGCCCTCCCAGTCAGAAGGTAGCAGGCTGTAGCATCATCCCGGCTAATCCCAACCTTGCTTGGGCACCTGTGCTGATCACTAGATTCCACAGAGAAACAGACCCCGCCTCTGTCCTCATGGAACCTTCCTCCATGGAGAATCAAGGACCGGTGTTTCCTTGTTCTAATCTAGAGCAATCATTTGCTAACATTTTGCTATTTATCCCATCTCTGGGGCCTTTGCCAAGCCTAAAGACTACCAGTCCTAGTGCTATCTAACAGAAATGCAATGCAAACCACACTTCTACTTTTAAATGTTCTTCTACTCATGTGAAACGAAGTAAGAAAATAAAAAGAAATGGGGCTTTTCCTAGGACATGCTATTTAACCCAATTTGACTAAAATATCATTCCAATACATGTCTTAGTCCATTCAGGCTACTATAACAAAAGTACCATAAACTGGGTTGCAAATAAAATAATAGAAGTGTATTTTTACAGTTCTAGAGACTAAAAGTCCAAGGTCAAGGTGATGGTGGATTGGCTGTCTGGTCAGGGATCATCCTGCTTCCAAAAGATCCCTCCTTGTCTTGCTGTGTCCTCGCATGGTGGTAAAGGAAAGCAAGTTCCCTAGCATCTTTGTATTTTTATTACTGGAGATTGAATCCAGGCCCCCAAGCATTCCGTGTAGGTAAGACCTGTGCCACTGAATAATGCCTATGCCCAGAGGAGTCTTCTGTCATTCCCGAGGGTTTCATTCTCATGACCTAATTACCTCCCCACGCTTTCTACCTCCAAATACTACCGCTTTGCGGACCAACGTCTCAGCATTTGAATTTTGGGGGAATACAAACATTGAGACGTAGCACATAACTGACATGCACCCTTTGCACAGGGCATTTATAATCACAGGTGTTTGTAATTTGCGCACTGTTTATGGAAAATTACCCTCTCTGAGGTATGTCTGTGGTTCTGAGTTTTCTGAATTACAGAAGAAGCAGTGCTGATCCTCTCCCCTCTCCCTCTACTGCCCAGGAGGAATTACTTACTCGGACACCAAAGCCTTGATAAGACTGGTTGCCGCCTCCAGAATCCCAGGTGAGCGTCATGTGCCCCCACCTCAGCCTTCTGCGGAGGGACTGTGCCCGGAAGTGCCCACCTCCCCTGGGAGACTCCCAGGGAAAGACTCACTCTTCAGAAGCAGGAACATGAGTGACTCCTCTGCAGATACCAGGAGGCAGCTGAACAACACAAAGCTGATCAGAAGGGCAGCAGCCAGCTCAGTCCCCTCAAGGTCACCTGAGACGCTGGAGGATCCCACGAGCTCCTGGAGTCCAGGTGCCAGAGGCCAAGGATGGGACCCAGGAGGCCCCAGCCCCTCAGGGCAGCCCGTTCCTCACGCCCAGCCACACCCTCCACACTCAGGACTGAGGCACTGGCCACACCCTCTCATGAGGACCAGACAGGGTAAGTGCTTGCCTTTTTAATTTGCCAGCTAGGCATCACTGTGGTCCTGTGACTGTTGTATTGTCTTTGGTTTTTGTGAAATTCAAATATTTTAAAATTTTGGTTTTCCTGGTTGATAAAATTGTATGAATTTGCTGTGCGCAAAATGGTTGGAAGCGCACTTGCGCATTACTTAGTGATGGGTGTGTGCTCTGGAAATACACCAGTAGGGGACTTTGTCGTTGTGTGAACATCGTAGTTGTGCTTACATAAATGTAGAGGGATAGTCAGTCACTTTATGTGGTCTTTTGATGTAACCCAGAAATGTGGTAATTTATGTTCGATATAGTTCTTGGAATTTTAGCAAGGGCAACTAACCAAGAGAAAGAAATAAAATGGATACAAACAGGAAAGGGAGAAGTGAAACTATCCCTATTTACACATCGTATGTCCCCTTACTTGTAAGTCCCTAAAAAATCCACTTTTAAACCTGATAAATTTAACAATGTAGGAAGATAAAAGAAAACAATGTACAAAAGTCAACATCTTTCCTGTATAATAATGAACAATACCACGCTTGAAGTTATACTACAAAGCCAAAGTGACAGAACAATGTGGGCTGCAAAAGAAAAACAAAGGCAAACTGAGACATGTACAACCGTGAAATAGAACAAAAGACACAGAAACAAACTTACACACCCATAGGTATCTAATTTTAAATACAGGGTCCAAAAGCATGCATTGTTTACACAGGAAAGAAGACAGCCTCTCCAACAAATGGTGTTGGGAAAACTGGATGGGGAAAATTGACACTAACTTCTTATCTTTCACCATGTGCTAAAATCAAATCCAAATGGATCAAAGACCACAATATAAAACCAAAAATGTTGCAACTGATGGAAGAAAACAGAAAAGAAAAACTTGCTATAATAAACACAGGTAAAAAGTTCCTCAATGGGACCACAAAAGCACAGGAAGTAAAAGCAAAAATATGCAAATGGGATTATATCAAATTAAAAAGCGTCTGTACAGCAAAGGAAACAATCAACTGAGTGTAGACAGCCTACAGAATGGGAGAAAATCTTTGCCAGTTTCCTATTCCAACAGAGGATTAATATCCAGAACACAAAACAAATCAAGAACAACAAAATGCCAAGTAACCTAATCAATAAATGTGCAAGCAAACTGATCAGACACTTCTCAAAAAAAAAAAAAAGGATACATGGCCAACAAGTAGATGCAAAAGAGCTGGGGATATAGCTCAGCAGCACCTTGCTTGGAAAGTAGATGAAAAGATATTCAATATCTTTAGCTGTGGGGAAAATTCAAATAGAAGATACACCGAAATTCCATCTTACTCCGGTCAGAATGGTATCATCAAGAATGCTAACGAACTAAATAAATACCAAAAACAATAAGTTCTGGTAAGGATGGGGGAGGCACTCTTCTACACTGCTGGTGGGAATGTTGACCTCTACAGTCATTATGGAAGTCAGTATGGAGGCTCCTCAAAAACTAAAAATAGAGGTACGATCTGATCCAGCTGTACCATCAGTATATTCCTGACAGAATTAAAGACAGCATACTATAGTAACAGCTGCATACGTGTGTTTACTGCAGCACAATTCACAATATTTAAACTGTGGAAACAACCTAAATGCGTACCAGTAGGTAAATGGATAAGGAAAATGCACCCTATGCATGGATTACTACACCATGGATTACTACATGGTCATAAAGCACAACAAAATCATATCTTTGCAGGAAAATAGATGGACCGGAAGACCATTGTTTTAAGTGCAATGAGCAAGACTCAGACTCAGAATATCAAATATTGAAGGCTGTCCCTCTTATGTGGAATCTTTAAAAAAAGAATGGAGGAAAAAGAGATGACAGGAAAGTAGGAAGGAAACTTAGAAAGGAGGAAGAGGCTTAGTAGCAGGAGGTGGAAGAGGCATAACACGGTACGGATAAAAATAATCAGAGTACGTTATACACATGTACAACTACACCAGAACAAAACTCACTTTTCTTTATAACTATTACGCACTAGCAAGTTTTTTAAGCCCAAATAAGAGATGTTGTAAAAACAAGACATATGAGGTGCCTCTGGTATCACACAATAGAATGACAGTAAGCTTGTTTTTAATATCTAGATATAGTCTATGTAAAAAAATGATAAAGAGTATACTACAGTAAAAATATAAACCAATAATATAGTTGCTTATTGCCATTGTCAGGTATTCCGTACAGTCCTGAGTCTATGTCGTGTACTTTTATACAGCCGGCAGTGGGGTAGGTTTATGTCAGCATAACCACCAGTAACTGAATGATATGTTAGGATGCCTACACAATCACTAGGTGATAGGAATCTTCGAGCTCCATTATAAGCTTTTGAGAACGCTGTTCCACTGTGGTGTATCTGTCTGCCCTTAACCAAAATATTAGGAGGCACATGACTATATATGCATTGTGGAGTGGCTAACTAGCTGATTAACACATGCACCACCTCACATAGTTATCATTTTTGTAGTGGGAACATTTCACATCCGCCCTCTGAGCATTTTTGCTTCATTCGTTGGTGTCTTAGTTATTTTCTTGTATTTTTTTTTTTTTTTCCGCTTGAACATGATACTTGACACTGACGACATAAAGCAGGACAGGCTGGTGTCGGCTCAAGGCTTCAGACCACGGCTGGCCGGCCCCAAGGCAAATATAGTACAGCGAGAAGATGTGGCAGAGGAAATGTTCAACCCATCGCAGCCAGGAAGCAGAGAGAGAAGCAGAGAAGGACCTTCCAGGTCCTGTCCCCAGTGCATGCATGGTTCCACTGATGAGAGTAGCGCCCCAAAACCCAGTCATCTTCCGAAGGCCCGCCTAGAAGCGCGTGAGACCTCTGGAGGACGTTCTCCATCGAAACAACAACGGGGACACTTCAGATCTAACTGCAACCGTTGGTTTGGCGGGTGTGGAAGCTGTGTCTGACACCAGCAGGAGCCAGATCGGTCCCGACTTTGCACTGCTCAGAGTCACACTGTGAACACAGGTTTTATAATAGCTGGCCCAGTAAAATACAATGACCCGAGGACACGAAGTGCAGGTCAGGCTGGACAGCTGAACCTGGGAGAGACGGTGGGAGCCAGGATTCTCTGTTAGTAACTGAAATTAAGTCTTGAGGAGAAAAACTTCACCAGCAAAGAGGGTGTGAGAGAGACGCACCAGCTTCGCAGATGTTTCTTCCTCTTCTGAATTTCCTTTCTTCCTTCATCCCCTCTTCCTCCTTCCCTCTCCTCTGCCTCCTCTACCCATTGCCCCGTCATCTCCTTTCTTTCTCTCTCTCCCTTTCTTCTTGCCCTCTGGTTTCTTCCCTTTCTTCTGCTTTGTTCTCTTCCTCCTTCGATTATTCTATCTTTTTATTTTTATTTTTCCTCCAGTACTGGGGATTGAACCTCAGGCCCTCACCTTGCACTCCATCCCCAGATCATTTTATTTTTTATTTTGAGGCTGGGGGCTCAGCACATTGTAAGTGGCCCAGACGGTGCTCAAACTGCAGCCTCCTGCGGGCGTGGACCACGATGCACAGCTCCTCCGATTATTTTTCAATATACTGCTGCTTGTTTCATGACTCTTTCCAGCTATAAGTAAAGTCCCTGTGATCTTTTTTTATCCAGAGCCCAAGCTAGGAATGTTTTTTACATGTTTAAAGGGCTGAGAGAAAATTACCATCAGCAACAATGAAAGAGGAACCTGTTCTAGAGCTCACATGGGCCATGAGATCTAACATACTCTGGCCTTTTACAGAAAAAGTTAGCCCGGGAACACAGTATAGACATTATGTTCCATTTTTTTTTTCCCACTGTTTATGATACTAGAGATGGGACGAGGGGCACCCTACCACTGCACCATACCCCGACCCTTGTTAAATTTTTAGATCATGTCTTTCTAAGCTGCCCGGGCTGGTCTTGAATCTGCAACCCTCCTGCCTCAGCCTCTCAAGTATCTGAGATTACTGGTATGCACCATCACCTGTGGCATCTTTTCAATTTTGTATGTGGCTACTGGAAAGTTTTAAATCCCAACCATGGCATCTGGGCTCCAGTGGAAGGGCCATACGAGAGGGTTTCCAGGGTCTGCCTCAGGGAGGCATGGGTTTCCTCTCAGCTCTCCCTCATTTCTGCTCTTCTGTGTCATCCTGTGAGTTTAGGTCAAGGTGAGGAGGACAGCAGTGTCTCTTACTGGTCCCCAGCTTCCGATGTCCTGGGTTTGAGTCTCAGCTCTCCTCAGCCTCAGCAGCTACCCCTGTAATGCGTAGCCCTAAGCGTATGTCGTGTCAAAGCTCAGAGCCAGCACTAACTCGGTGTCTGGCTCAGAGGCAGTGGTGGAAAGAGCAGGACCCTTTCAAAGCATTCCCAGGGACCCTCCGGGCACTACCTCCGGAAACGGAAAGTCTATTCCGTGCACATGGGCCTGGCCTTTTTGGGTTGGTGCCTCTGGAACATTTCCTCATGGCCTTTCTCAGCTGGCTCTGTGGACACTTGGGATTAGCAGGCCTTGGGGTGTTACCCGAGCTGGCTGGCACCCACATGCAACGCCCGCAGCTCTGTGAAGACCAGCAGGGCGTGATCCTCACAGGGCCCAGCGGGCTGCAGAAGGAGGTCTTTCTGAGAACTAGGAAATGCCACACGGTCCGCCAGGGCTTCGGAGTGCAAGCTGACCTCCAAGACAGCCCACAGGAGATGGCCTGGGTGTCAGTGCCAGACACTCGGCGGTGTGCCTGGTGCCAACTGCAACCCCTCCTTTATTTTCCAGCTCAGAGGATGAAGCAAACCTGGCTCGTCGGCACCAGCGTCCCTCCCTCGTTCACTCACTTGTTTGGCAAATATTCACCAAGCACCTGCTATATGGCAGCACACGGGCACAGCACAAAGACACACAGCTAGCACTGTAATGAGATCTCTGGCCTACTTGGGGGCAGAAAATCAGGATAAAGGCTGTGGAACTGGGTGAGCAAGGGGCTTGGG